CGGGGTGTTGACCTATTTTTATTGATTTTGAGAGGGGTTCTCTGTGCCTCCTGGATTTTGATGCCTGTTTCCTTCCCCAAATTAGGGAAGTTCTCTGCTATAGTTGCTCCAATAAAACTTCTGCCCCTCTCTCTCTTTCTTCTTCTTCTGGGATCCCAATTATTCTAATATTGTTTTGTCTCATGGTATCACTTATCTCTTGAATTCTGCCCTCGTGATCCAGTAGTTGTTCATCTCTCTTTTTCTCAGCTTCTTTATTTTCCATCATTTGGTCTTCTATATCACTAATTCTCTCTTCTGCCTCATTTATCCTAGCAGTTAGAGCCCCCATTTTTTATTGCACCACTTTAATAGCCTTTTTGATTTCCACTTGGTTAGATTTTAGTTCTTTTATTTCTCTAGAAGGGCTTTCTCTATAATCTTCCATGCCTTTTTCAAGCCTAGTTAGTATCTTTAAAATTGTCATTCTGAACTCTAGTTCCCACTTCTTACTAATGTCCATACTATCAGGTCCCTGGCAGTCAGTACTGCCTCTTGTTCCTTTTGTAGAGGTGATTTTTTTCCATGTTGTCATTTTGTCCAGAGCAGAATAGATGAATGAGAGAACAAAATGCTAGCAGGGTAACAATGACCCCAGAAAATATACACTAAGCAAATCAGAAGAGACCTTCCAGAAAGTGGTTGCTTTTCTGTTCAGAGAGTTGCCGCTATTCTTTTCTTCCATCTCCTATTGAGTTCATAGATGTTCAGAATTGTTTGATCCCTATCTAGCTGAATTCCTGGGATCAGACGAAATTTAGGTCTCCTACTCCTCCGCCATCTTGCACCTCCCCTCTATTTTTAACTTTTTGAACAACCTCCATAATTGTTTTCCAGACTGGCTGTACCAATTTGCATTCCCAATAACAGTGCATGAGTGTTCCTTTTTCTCCACATCCTTGCCAACACCTGCTGTTTCTTTTATTGTTGATTTTAGCCATTCTAACAGGTTTGAGATTGTATCTCATTGTATCTTTGATTTGCACTTCCCTGATGATGAGTGATGATGAACATCTTTTCATGTGTCTGGTGGTCATCTGGATGTCTTTTTTGGAGAAATGCCTGTTCATGTGTTCTGCTTATTTTTAAATTGGATTATTTGTTCTTTGGTTGCTGAATATTTAAGTTCTTTATATGTTTTGGATACTAACCCTTTATTGGATATGTCATTGTAAATATCTTCTCCCATTTCTTAGGTTGCCTTTTAGTTTTGCTGATTATTTTCTTCACCGTGCTGAAGCTTTTTATCTTGATGTAGTCCCAGTGGTTGATTTTTGCTTTTGTTTCCCTTGCATCAGGGAAGGTATCTAGAAAAAGTTGCTCTGGCCGGTGTCAGAGAGGTTACTGACTGTGTTCTGTTCTGTTATTCTTATGGTTTCAGGTCTCACATTTAGGTCTTTAATCCATTTTGAATTTATTTTTGTGTATGGTGTAATAAAGTGGTCCAGTTTCTTTCTTTTGAATGTTGCTGTCCACTTTTCCCAACACCGTTTGTTGAAGAGACTGTCCTTTTCAAATTGCATATTCTTTCCTGCTTTGTCAGAGATTAAGTGACCAGGGCCGCCTGGGTGGCTCAGTTGTTAAGCGTCTGCCTCCGGTTCAAGTCATGATCCTGGGGTCCTGGGATCAAGCCCCACATCAGGCTCCCTGCTCAGCGGGAAGCATGCTTTTCCCTCTCCCACTGCCCCTGCTTGTGTTCCCTCTCTCTTTCTGTCAAATAAATAAAATCTTTAAAAAAAATTAAGTGACCATTTGATAATCAGTTTATTCTTGGTTTTCTCTTCTGTTCCATTGATCCATGTGTCCATTTTTGTGCCAGTACCATACTGTCTTGGATCACTACGGTTTTGTAATATAACTTGAAATCTAGAATTGTGATATCCCCAGCTTTGCTCTTCAAGATTTCTTTGGCTTTGTGGTCTTTCGTGCTTCCATACAAATTTTAGGATTGCTTGTTCTAATTCTGTGAAAAATGCCATTGGTATTTTGATGGCGATTGTATTAAAGGTGTAGATTGTTCTGGTTGATATAGACATTTTAATAATATTTTTTCTTCCAATCCATGAGATGGAATGTCTTTCCATTTTTTTGTTTGTCTTCAATTTCTTTCATCAGTGTTTTATAGTTTTCAATGTATAGACCTTTCACCTCTTTGGTTAGGTTTATTCCTAGGTATTGTATTATTTTTGGTGCAATTGTACATGGGATTTTTTTCTTAATTTCTCTTTTTGCTCTTCATTATTGGCATGTAGAAACGCAACAGATTTCTGTACATTGATTTTCTATCCTGCAACTTTACTGAATTCATTTATTAGTTCTAGTAGTTTTTTGGTGGAGTCTTTGGGGTTTTCTCTATATATATTTCTGGACTTTATTATTCTGTTCTATTCATTCGTACATGTTTTATATCTTTTTTTGTTATTTTAATGTTCATTAGTTTGTTTTTTATTGTTAAGATTGGTATCTTTTTATTGATTCTATTTTAAAATATTATTTGATATTTCATCTATTTAGTGTTCCATATGAATTCTAAAATCCATTGGTTAGGTTTAAGGAAAAGAATTCCTGCTAAAGTGTTTATTATCATTCTGTTATATCAATTAATCAGATTTTAGAATTTCCTCCCCTGCAGTTTTGTATCTTTGGTCACTTGTTGGTTGTTAGCTAATTTCCTAACTCAGCTCACCTGTAAGTGGTTTATTATGAAAATGAGCTTGAAAAAGCCCTCTGGAAATTCTGATAGTCAAAAACATTTCAGTCAATTTGAGTCTACCTAAAAATTACATTATTAGGTATTTTCCCTTTTGGTGATTTTTAAAAATTTTAATTGAGTATTGAGAAGACCCAAAGCAAATGTCATATGACCTGTATTAATAGATAGCCTATAGTGTCTACTTTGAGCTGTTAATTGTTAAATATAAAAAAAAAGAGTTATGCAGTTTTTGACCAAAAGATTTTCAAGTCAAGTTTACATAAAGTTCCTTGCATTTTTTATTGAGTTGTAATAGATATACAACATTATAGTGACATTGTTAATTTTAGTGCTTTAATTGTCACTGTTCTCTTACTTGCATCTATATTTAGTCTTTCCGTTGATGTTTCTTCTCCTGATTTGTTTGGAAGTATCCATGAAGACTTCAGTTTGACTTCTGTAAGTAAGATGATAAGTAGAAAGCTAAACATATTTTAAAATTATATAATGACTTATAAATCAGTGTGAATTACTTTGACTGCTATTGTATTCCTGCTGTAATATACTATCCTATAATTTGGAGCTATGTTTTGTTTTGTGAAAATTTTAGTAAAAATACAATTTGATATGTATTCCACAACTTAAAAACTTTTTATAACTTAAGTAGTTCCATCTACTCCCAGCATTGTGCAAGTTGGTGAGTGTGAAATAGGTGCCCTAGTGCTTCCCTGGTGTTTGAAAGCTGGAGAGGTAGCAGAAGACAGGGGCCCATCTCCCCATATTTTTCCTCTTTAACTAGAAAAGCTCTGCTTTTCTCTGTTTTATTTCTGTAAGTTCCCTAATAGCATTTCATTTGAACATAAAGTTCTGGCAAAAACAAAGCCATACCACCTCTTGTATATATACACTTACATCTTTTTTTTAGCATATACATGTATTTAAGGATGATTCACACACATACTCTATTATACGTATAAATTCAGCTCTTGAAATCCAAACCCATCTGTCTTAAATAACCCTCTCTGGTTTGTCGTTTGCTTTAAGGGTGTGTGTGTGTGTGTGTGTGTGTGTACATGTGTATATGTATATATGTATGTGTATCTCTCAAGAAAGAAAGCATATGACCAAAATTTCCTGCATCTATCATTCCCACAGATATTGTAAGTGTGAGTTCCTAAATAAGGAATTTGTTATATTAGGAAAGATTAAACATTCAGTTTGGGACCAGATGTATTAAATGAGTGACATTCAAGCAGAGATATTTAGTGTGTGATTAGACATACTTATCTGGACCCCAAGAGAGAAATCTAGATACAGATTTGTGAATTAGGAATATACAGTTGACCCTTGAGCAATGAGGGAGTTAGGGGCATCGATGCCCTGTTCAGTCGAAAAATCCATGTGTAACTTTTGACTCCTCTAAAACTTTACCAATAGTCTACTGTTGAGCAAAAGCCTTACCAATAACAGGCAATTAACACATTTTGTCTGTTATTATTATATGCTGTATTACAATAAAGTAAGTTAGAGAAAAGAAAATGTTACCAAAATCATAAGGAAGAGAAAATACATTTATAATACTGTATGTATCAAAAATTTGGATATAAGTGGACCAGTGCATTTCAAACCTGTGTTGTTCAGGGGTAAACTGTATAAGCAATATAAGGCCTGGGAGTAGATGAGTATACTAGGAAAAATGCTAGTAGAATGAGAGGAGGGCCAAATAATAAAAATAACATTGGGGGTACCAGTATTTAAGGGATGGCCGGAAGCAGAGAGCCTCAAAGTTCCCAAAAAAGAATAATCAGAGAGAAAGAGAAGAAAATCCAGATGGAACAGTGTTGCTGAGAGAGATGGAAAAGATCATTTAAACAAAGGAGTATTTAATAGTATTACAGACTGGTAGAAGAGCAGGTGGGGTCAGATGAAAACTGAAGCATTGTGGGCTTGGCAGTTAGGTGGTCATTTGTGATTGTAGGAGAAGCATATCAGTGGATTGCTAATGGGCTATCTGTATGCACTGGGTCAACATCAGGTAGGAGCTGAGGAAGTTGATGTAGTGAGTTTAGACCATTTGCACTGTGAACATAGTAGACTAGAGAAAGACACAGGCTGGAGGAAAGAGCCTTCTAAATTGAGAAGGGCCTTATGTGCTATTGGACCAACTGTGCTTTTTTCCTCTGTCCTTTAGAACAAGCCTAATTTCTATATGACAGTCTTTTCAGTGTTTGAAAACATTCGTTGTGTGGGCTTGGAATCTTCCTTTCTCTTAGCTAATATCCTAAATCTTTTAAGCATTTCCTAGTCAATATGGCAGTGGTTCTCCTCTTAGTCTACTTCTGTCCTTTTTCAAGGGTGGAGTACAGGACTCTGATGTGGCCCTGGCAACTGGGAAGCAGCCAGAACTACACATTAGGTTACATCTCTGTTGACTTACATTGAGCTTACTGTCACCCACACCCTAGGTGTTTCATACTTGCTTCTACCAGTCATAGGACCTTATCTCTCCCATTTTACTCCATAAAATTGTTCATTTGGTACCAAATTCATTTCCTGTGTTTCTCTGCATTTGGATGATATCTCATTAGATTTGACCCAGATTATTGAGATCTTCTTAGGGCCTTGTTCTGTTACTCAGCAGAGAGGCAGTTATGGTAAGATAGAGGCCCAGGTTTGGAATCAGAAGATAACTACTTTGCTTCCTGGTCTTCTTCTTACTAACTGAATAATCTTGGGCATGTCATCGAGGGTGTCCAGTTTTTTCCTGGACAGAATTGGGGTGGTAATGCCTACATCTCAGATGGTCTGTGAGAAATAATTGAAATAATACATAATTGGCAAGTACTGCCTTTGATAGGTTGAGCTGTTACTTTCAAACATACATACTCATCTAAGTTGCTAATAAGCTTTTAATTAATCATTCAAGTTTAAGAATTTGATTATTGTAGTGTTAATTATTCTTCCCACTTTCAGTTCTTCTGATTGGTTAGATTTGGGAAGAGATATACAGTTATAAGAGTAAGACTTCAAATCACTCAAATTATTTTTCCATTTTGGGGGAAGAACAATGCAGATTACAGGGAGAAAAATCAAAGAGAGTTAATTAACAGGGTAAAGAAGATGCAGCAGACTCAGGGGGTCTGTTAGACTATAAGGTTAATATTTGGAGGAAAAGGTAATTGAGAATTGATCTTATAACTGAAAAACCACTTGAGATTTTTGCAGAGTGCAGCATGTTTAGAGTGGTTGATGACACCTTATGCTTACTTTATTTCGTGTTCTTTATGAGGACCACATAATGGTAATACCAGGTATGGGGCAAGAGGGAATATACCCCTTCCCCAGACTGGCCTGTGTGTCTATGCAGTGCTGTTTACTGCTTTCTTTGTTCTCACTTGCCATTTATTCACAAAATGTGGAGGAGTGGTATGCATAACAGAGCCCTGTTTTCCTTGTTATATAATTTATTTCCCATCCATAGATTAATTCAAGGCCATTCATAACCTTTCATTTGTTTGAAGGTACTTTAATAACTCTTTGCCCTTTAATTCTATTTGTTGATGACCAAAAAGGACATTGAATAGGCCACACTGTGCCAGCAATAAAGATAATATTTTAAATAAAGAAATTTAGAAAGTTTTAAAATTTTTGATGGAGCTAAATGAAATTATTGGGCGATATAAGCTGTACTTGGCAACTGAGTTCAGAGTGTACCTCAAGATAGGGATCTGTTTATTTTCCTCATTTATTATATTGACTTTAACAACAGTAAGCAAAATATGGCTGAAAGTTTTTCCTGGAAAGTAGTTTTGCCTTAGTGTTTAGTCAAAGGATCTTGAATCAAAGCTCTGAATTAGTCACTGTTGTTCTAGAGAATGCTCTCACACTGAGGGAGCATGGAAAGGTGTTCTTGGTGAGCCACAACAGTGGTGATAACTGCCATTCCTGGAATTTTGTTTACAAATATCGTTCTTCTGAACTGTAAAATGATGTTTATTCATCAGCTTTGGGGTCTGGTAATTTTAATAAGAAATTACCTTAAAGTGGCTAGAACCTGGAGAACGTAGAATATGAGGCTCTGGCCCTCTTCATAACTGATAGTATGGGAGAGTTCCCTAGCCTCTGTCCCATCACTCCCCATAAGAGGGGGAAACTATTCTATATAAATGCATCTGTGAAGGCCCGGTTTTTGGGAGGAGCCCATCATATGGATGGCATTATAATTCTCTTTGAAGTTATGAAAAATTTATAAATTATTTTCTATGAATTTTTGCATTTTTTGTAATTATTTTAAAATATCCATTTTATAGCTTTTTTTGCTGCAAAAAATATTAGATAGAATAACCAGTAAAGTAAACCCCTTTCACAAGAACAACAGCTGAACCTACCTTACTTGTTAGCTGTTTTTCCATACAGCTATTAAATTTCGAGGGCAGCATTATTTGACTCTTTAGTGCATTACATAATAACAAGCAGTTATAGAGTATAGAGTTATAGAATTATATTGTTTCTCTCTATATTATTACTGGGAAAAAAGGGACCAAAAGAAACAAAACATTGAATATTGATATTAAACATGAAGAGATTATAATTAAATTTAATAAATGATAACTGTTACCCAGTTTGTTACTATAAATGTAATTTTCTAAACATTTGTTTTGCTTTTAGGAACAGAGACTTTTGATAGTCCTAAGTAACTGCTGCTACCTAGAACGTCACACCTTCCTAAATATAGCAGAACATTTTGAAAAGCACAACTTCCAGGGAATAGAGAAAATAACACAGGTAAATGAATTATGTTAAATGAACAAGTTGGTTGTTTTTTCAATTTAGTTTCCAAACTATTTTCTTAGTACCCTCTCTTTTGCTTTTCCTATACTTTTCTCTCCTTACCCTCCCCACATCCATATACCTTCTCCATCTTCACCCCACCTTGACTTTGAATGATTCCTGCCCTTCTTGTAACTCACCTTGAATCATTAATTTAATATTCTATTCTTTTCTCTAGATCAAAGCTTTCTCAAGGCAAAAGCTGATTTATTCCCTACCTAAGCTGCCCAAAGTAAGGGAAGGAAATAGGAAAGAAAGGCATCAAACCCAAATCTTTAAGAATCATCTCAAATTTGGCTCCTTTTAGTTTAAACTTTTACTTTAGAGCCAACAGCAAACTCCCTGAGCCTGCAGATAAACCTCTTCCTGCTTATTCACACCTCTTCTTTCTCTCCCCCTTTCCAAATGACCAGTTGGCAGTGTTTCTCCATAAATGCAAGAAAGATATTTTACTTGGTTGGCATCATGAAATTAATGGATTCACTCATAATAAATAGAATCAGCATGAATGCTATCATCTAAATCTAGTTTACTGATTCATTTACTATACAACTAAATGATTTGAAAATATTTAATGTCAAGTATTAAAAAATCCTAATTCTGAGTGTGAAAAATAGTCCACCCTCTGAGAAATAAACTGAGGGTTTTAGAGGGGAGGGGGGTGGGGGGATGGGTTAGCCCAGTGATGGGTATTAAGGAGGGCACATACTGCATGGAGCACTGGGTATTATATGAAAACAATGAATCATGGAACACTATATCAAAAACTAATGATGCTTTTGCTTTTTACTACTTAAGCATGGGCACAAGTGCTCAAGCACAGAGACACAAAGACTCACGTACACGAGAGTGGCTTACAACAGCTATAGGAGGCTTAATAACTTACCTGAAAAATACATGCTCTCCACTCTCTAATCCATGGATGCAGCAAAGTTGGACAAAAATGAGTGCTGTGTAAATCAATGGAGTAGGTTTTTCTTTAGATGTTATACTTTGTTTTTATTTTTTCAAGTAAGCAGAAAAGGAAAAAATGAAGCAACCTTCTTATTAAAGGTTGGTTGGTTCTTGGGCAAAGGTTTATCAGATTTCTAAGTAAAACTAAGCGAGAACCACTTTTACAGTTTTCTTAGTGCAAAAAATAAGAAAGATAATGATCTTGTTAATCTTATAATCAAAAAGTACTCTTGATGGATTGCATACTTTTTACAAATGATAGTTACGGTTTGTGAACTAGAAATGGATTTTTTCTTTTTCAAAGAATGAAAATGTCAAAGTGGGTGGCTCTGTCTTGTTTTCCTGCCTTTTCGTAAAGATTAATCATCCTGATGAGAAATGTGACTTAAGGCTGTAGGGTCACATGTTGAGTTTATTTCCAGAAATTTTTGTGTTGAGAATTGCAGAGTGCTCCCTTGCAGTAAAGAATTAGTATTTGTAGAAAGTGAGCATTCTGTTTTCATGCAGTAACAATAGTGGCACAAATATATTTATTGAACAGTTTTTTTAGTCACTTAAAAATTTATTAAATGATTAGGAATTGCATATAATAGAAGCACTAAGTTTGGTTCTCTTTAGGTTTTTACAAAGTTATGAGTAGTAACTGTTGCTTCAGTTACATCATAAAGAAATAGAATGAAGTTGACATACAAGTAGGCTTTGATGTCCTTCCTAGTCTTGTTGATATTATTTTTTCCATGAATCATGGAACACTACATCAAAAACTAATGATGCTTTTGCTTTTTACTACTTAAGCATGGGCACAAGTGCTCAAGCACAGAGACACAAAGACTGACGCACACAAGAGTGGCTTACAACAGCTATAGGAGGCTTAATAACTTACCTGAAAAATACATGCTCTCCACTCTCTAATCCGTGGATGCAGCAAAGTTGGACAAAAATGAGTGCTGTGTAAATTGCCCACTTTTTTTTTCCCCAGAAAGAAATCCCCTTTCTCCACATTCCCGCCATCTGGCCCTGGGCTTTGGTTGGGAGATTTTTGATGACTGCTTCAAGAAAGGAGAGAGAGAGAGTGGGGGGGAAGGTCAGAAGGAGAGAAAGTCTCAAGCAGACTCTGCTCTGAGCAGAGCCTGAGCTAGGGCTTGATCCCATGACCCAAGATCATGACCTGGGCCAAAGCCAAGAGTTGGACTCCTAACTGACTGTGCCACCCAGGCGCCCCCCCCTTTAAAAAAAGATTTCTTTATTTTAGAGAGAGATATAGAGAGAGTTGTTGATATCATTTTCAAACCAAGGTAATATATTGGATCTGGAGGTAAAACGTAGAATAAATGGTGGACTATTTTTTTTTTTTGACAATGATATCTGCCTTTTATTTTATTTTATTTTATAGTCACCATACATTACATCATTAGCTTTTTCTTTATTAGGTTATGTTAATCACCATACATTACATCATTAGTTTTTGATATAGTGTTCCAGGATTCATTGTTTGCGTATAATACCCAGTGCTCCATGCAGTACATGCCTCTTTAATACCAATCACTAGGCTAACCCATCCTCCCACCCCCTCCCCTCTAGAACCTTCAGTTTATTTCTCAGAGTCCATAGTCTATCATGGTTCGACTCCCCCTCTGTTCCCCCCCTTCATTCTTCCCTTCCTGCTATCTTTTTTTTTTCTTTTTAACATATAATGTATTATTTGTTTCAGAGGTACAGATCTGTGATTCAACAGTCTTACACAATTCACAGAGCTCACCATAGCACATACCCTCCCCCATGTCTATCACCCAGCCACCCCATCCCTCCCACCCCCCACCACTCCAGCAACCCTCAGTTTGTTTCCTGAGATTAA